GAAATCTATATTATTGATTAAAAAATTATATTGTTTAAATTATACTATTTAAATTATTAAATTTAAATTATTTGATGATTCTTATCTAATTGATTTTTATTTTGTAATTTTGTGTATTTTAAAATTTAAAACATGATCGATTCTCTATTGATTATCAAAAAGGAAAATGTGCATTTTGAAATGTATTTTTTAAATTAAATTTTATAATAAATATATAATTTGATTTATAAATTTATTAAAATATTTATATAATTTAAATTACGAAATAAATATTTTAAATGAAAAAAAGTTTCTTAATATCACATAATCTACTTATCGTTCAAATATTTATATTTTGTAAATTAGATTTCAATTTTTTTCTTATTTTATTAATAATATTTTAGTAAATTACTTTCGATGCAACTCTCCCTTAATCACCAACCACCTTTAGCTTTTATTGAACAAAATTATCAGGCTTTAATTGATATTTTTGTTGAATATCATCAAGCATGATTGACTTTGCGAAGAATTATCCATGAGGCAAGCAGTATTTTTTTAATTAGGAAATTAATTAGACTAACAAGTGTGATAGCTGATTAACCTATTAAATCTTATTCTAGTTAGTATCAGATTGAACATTCATCGACTAATCATCTGCCACCTTAAAGTATATACGAGTAATACGACATTTGTTTATTTAAAAAATCATTTTTAGATAATGAGATTACACCAGCAAAAAGATTTGGTAACGTATACGTGGACAAACCTTAAGGGGGTTGATTAGTCTTAACAACAGAGTATGCACAAAGATAAACCTTTTTCAAAAAATAAATTTCTTAATTTTTCTATACTTTGTCTGGTGTACATATTGAACATGCTTGCATACTTTTCAGTGCAACAAAAATCTTATGTCAAATATATTACTCTCATATAATTGTCTCACTTTTTTTTTAAAAAATGTGTCAATTTAGTCGTTAAATTTTATTTTAAATATAGTATTAAATGTTCTCCTTTTAATATTATTCTTATTAATTATTGTTATTATTATTATTTTTTGAATAGGTATAATTTGAGAGTAAGGATGTGGAATTGTAATATAATAGTACTAAGTTTAAATTTTGGTCATTATTAAGACATCACATTTATTTATCGAGTAACTCATGAGACCTGATGCAATATTACTCGTATTATATTTTCATAATAACTACTTAAACAAAACTTATGAGTAATTACTTCCAGCTTTGTTATTAATTATGTCTTACTAAAGATAAAGATGAAATTTTAATTTATAATAATTATGTTTTTATAATATTGAATATATATATATGTATTTTTATCTTAATTGTATAATATGAGATAATCATCTTTCATTTCTTATCTCACTCATCCACATACCATACAACTTGAATTTAAGATCTCTTATTTCCAACGAAATGTGATGATCATTGAATTATTTAAATAGTTAACTTAATTTTTTTTAATAAGCATAATAAGAGAAATTAAATGTAACAACTAAAATAAAATAGAGAGTAATCTAAGACTTGGAAAATAAATATTAATTGGAAACTTAATTTGGAGTATCTAATTTGATCAAAACGAATATGCATCTTTAACAAAAGGGGCTATAAAATTATCATGTGTGTGGGGTTCATTGGTTTGCCAGGTATGCACGCTCCTTTGACCATTCATTTTTTTCTTATTTCCAATGGTTGTTGAATTACTTTCTTTGGAATTCGCCAAATACCTTTGCCTTTCTCCACTTCCTTTTACTTTCTTTGTAGTCGTATGTACTCAGGCCATTAGAATTAGTCTATTTTAATTGAAATTACGAAGATACATCTTCTTGTCCATTTCCGATATCTTCCCCTCTCACGCAGCATGCTATAATATAAGACAAAACGCAATGCTCAATAATAGAATTTTGGGCATTCAACCCTCCACACCTTTTCTGGGTTTATGAAATCAAATAATTATACATATGTATTGCATAAATTATGAAAGACATTTACTTTACAATGCAACGGATGAGATAAAATCACTTTAAATTAATATAATATCGTTTGTTGGAACAAATTGCTTGAGATTTTAGTTAACTCACTATAAGATTAAAAAATTAATAGAATAAAAAAAATGCATCACTACAAGAAAGACAAAATTTACGTGGTTCAGCTCTAATTTAATTGAGTCTACGTTTATGAACATTCATAAGAAAAAATTTATTATTAAAAATAGAGAAATACAATTTGTGATACTCTCGGAAAAATACTCAATCTTCAATTATTCTCAAATCTTACACACAATATTTTTAAATGCAAGACACACTCAAAAAACATACTTAGCAAAATAATTTTAACTAGTCTACTCTTACTCACCTTACCCAAAACACTCACAAAACTCTTGTATTTTTTAGAGCTAGCTCACTTTGCTTTGGATTGCTCTCTTGGTGTGATTTGTTGAATGGCCAAATGGCTTTTTATAGCCAAATGGCTTTTTATAGCCAAATGCCAACCACCCACAATGAATGCAATGGGCTCCAACATCATAATCCAACCATGCACAATAAATATTGTATGGACAAAGTTGCAGCAACCAAAATTCTATTTCAAAGGCTGCCATGAGACTTCCAATTTTTCAACAAAATTGTGCTGCCATGAGATTTCCCATGCAACCAAATTTCAAAAGCTGAAATTTGCATGCTTTTTCAACCACCATGCAGAACTCACATGCGGCAACATCATTACCTCAGTCATTCATTGGGTTTTGAAATTAACAATTGATAATTTATGTAAAATTTATGTGTATAAGAGAATCATGTATTGAGTTTTTGGTTCAAGTAATTAATAAAGTTATTGACATGGATTTTCATATTGCTGGTGAGACATTAAAGTTCCTATATAATTCTCTGTTTTCCAGCTACTCTGTGATCGTTTTCTTGAGCAAAAATGATAAGTGGCCTGACGTCATGCTTCTATTATTGGTATCCAATGAAGCAATGGAAGTGCAGAAAAATATCAAAGATGTATCAAAGGAAGAAGAAACCTCTGAATTTTCTAGAACTCAGAAATGGGATTACGATTCCTAGTGCTGCATACATTCACTTGGCTTGTTTCTGTAAGAAATTGGACCATTGTTACAATACATTGATCTTAAATCTCAACTTTAAGACACAATCAAAATCAGCAACCTTGCTTTCTGAAACATATTCCAAGACATGGATGGCTACCAAACAGATACTTCCATGCCAGCAGTCACCACTCAGAATGACATGCACAAGCAGTCTCTTCTCTTATCTCTAACAATGCTTGAAATATCTGATCCCAGATAATTTTTATTTTAAATGATTTTGGGTTCACTATCTCATGCATATTCTAGCAGCTTTGGAAGATCATAGAAGCAGTATTGCTGCATCTGTATGATCTGATTTAGAACAAGTTATTGCGAACTTGACCTTATGGTAGGATTTCGACTTATGTGGCATATGTGTCAGCCATCTGGACATAATGATTGGATTAAGGTTTGTAATGTGGACCGTTGTTGAACGAGGCAAAACCTTTAAATTCACCCTTAAAAAATATCAGTAAGAACACATTCATTTCTAAAAAAAAAGGCAAGAACAAATTGTCTTTTCAAATCATAAATCAATACAAATTACTCATTTTTCAACGAAAAACATCAGAATTCTGTTTGCCACATCAGTATTTTTAACGAAAAACGTTGAAAAAGATATAATTTATATTGATTTATGATTTAAATGGATAATTTATCCCTTTTTTTTTTAAGAGGTGAATATACTCTTACCGATATTTTTTGAAAATGAATTTGAGGGTTCTGCCGTTCAACAATTCCGATTTTTTTAGGATGAACCCAGGGGTATACAAAATTCTGATAAGGTGAATTGATGGAATAATTAAGTACAACTCTGAGACTACGAAGTTACTACAGATTCGATAAAGTAATGTTCATTGATTGTTGACAATAAAGGTGTGTCAAGTCCTATTTTCACACATATATATCTTCATTAAAGCTAAGGCAAGCAATCCTCATGAGTTTCTGTGTCTTAACCAAAAAAGGAAAGTTTCCATTATTAGAAAAATATCATAAACTCACCATTTTTTTATTATCAAACTCAATGTTATTAGCATTGGTATTTGAACATTTGACCCCACTAACCTGTCTGTAAATTGTCCGTATGGTCTGTCAATTATTAAGTTATATATAGTTATTTCAAAAAATTATTATATAATCTGAATTATATTAAATTACATAATATAAATTATTAAATAAAAAATGAGTTATTTAATATTAAAGATTCTATACCATCTAATAAATTTTTTTTAATCTAATATCATCCAAATTACAAAATAGAGATTCTCCTTATTTTTATGAAAAATCTATAAATTCTATAAAACGGATTTATTAGCCCAAAAATCTAAAAACTGCATTTGGGTTGACTTCCTCGAAAAAACCAGGGCCCAAGAACTAATATTGGATTGGAGCAGGTTGCGATGTCCAAGCCCACCAATCGAAATCCAATCTTTCAGAGGCCCATAGAAGCTCTCTTGTTCCTCAAGTTGAAAAGTTCAAGTCAATGCTGAGATGAACAGTATTTCTACAGCAGAAAGGGCGTTCGACGGCAAGCAATTAAGCTTCCGAATGAAGATTTTGCTCCACTCTGCTCATGCTTTGTTCTACTTCCTTTCTTTAGCTTGTTTGACATTTCTCTTGGTTGTACCATAGTGATGTCACCTTAATTTGGGGTGGTTATTGCCACCATCAAAAACGTTAAGTGTCACAAAATATTTTAAGGTTTTTTTAATAATATCCAAAAATATTAACTTATTAATTAATTTTAAAATTTTAATTATTAATAAATAAATATTAATTATTTTATTAATTAATAATTAATAATTATAATTATTAACCATTTATATCAACCAAGTTAAATAAAATTGGGTCATAACCATTTTCCCTTAATTTGTTGATCTGCCCCTCAGCTGTGAGAAATCCTTTTTTGTCTTCTCAAGCTCCATCAATCCCAACGAAAAAAATTAATAACGTGAATCAATGGCTTCTATGTTTTTCTTTAATTAAGGGTTTGTCTAATATGTGCTATTAGAATATTGGTTAAA